GGCAGCGGGGAAGAAAACTTTCCAACAGGCAGCATGCTGAGGATGCCCTGCAAGATTTGGATCCTCTCTGGTTAAAGGGAGGAGAGCTATTGCTTTGTGATGTAATGGCACCATTTCTTCCCATAAACATATGGGAGCTAGTGGTCTGCCTTTCTTGCAGACCAGCTAACAGCCCTTTCACACTTGCAAGCCTGTGAAGAAACTGAACTTGCTGCAGGTGTGGACAGGAAGGAAGCTTGAAATCAGAGCTCTCTTTTTTTCCTTGTTAAACCAGCTTTTTTCATTGTTGACAGCTAAGGATGGATAAGGTGGTGGTTTTAGTCACATCTAATGCTTTTGATTGCTTTGGACAAGGCTACATTCATCTTAATTTTCCTCAGAAACCCACAGTGTGTGCGTTTAATACCATACTCGAGAGAGTGTGATTTCTTGCCCCTTTCTAAGCATGCTATGAGATTTTCCTGATAAAGCCTGATTGTCCTGGGCTTTGCTGATGTCTCAAGGCAGGTGCTGGGGCAAAGGTAGCATTTCATAAGAGTATCTGGTGTGATTGCAAATTCAAGCTTCATGCCACTTAACTGCAGTGTCAGAGGGGAGAGAAAAGGAGGCAGACAAACTTGCTTCATCACCAATGTGCAGAAATGAAATAGGAAACTGTATGGCAGATCCTGGGCTTTCAGGAGTCTGTCATGTTTGCTGTGTTCTTAAGACAGTCAGCAGGTTCTAAACTTTTCATTTAAAAATCAAAAAGCCCCTGCTTTCTGGAGGTGCTGAATACCTCTGAAAAGTGGGACATGCAATTTTACATTCTTTGCAGCTCAGTTGTTGTCCTGGTTTCATCTGCGATAGTTAATTTTCTTCCTGATAGCTGGTGTAGTGCTGTGTTTTGGATTTGGGATGAGAACAATATTGATAACATACTGATGTTTTTAGTTGTTGCTGAGCAGTCAAGGACTTCTCAGCTCCCCTTCCTCAGCCAGCGGGGAGGGGCACAAGCAGCCGGGACGGGGCACAGCCGGGATACTGGCCGAAGGGATGTTCCCACCACATAACACATAACGTCGTGCTCAGGGTATGAACTGGAGTTGGCTGGGGAGGTGCCGCAGCTCAGGAACTAACCAGGCATCGGTCAGTGGGTGGTGAGCAATTGTTCTGTGTATCACTTGTTTTGTATATTCTTCTGTTGTTGTTACTATTATTTCCCCCCCCCATCATATTAAACTGTCTTTATGTGTTTTAGCTACCTGCTGGGTTAAACCACAACAGTTGTGCAGGTAGTTTTTGTAGCCAAGTAAGAACAACTGCTGCAGTGACAATGCACGGTGCTCCCTCTTTTCTGCCCTTCTGTCAATCCTCAACTTCAAAGACTAATTGAGATTACTTATGAAGATGTTCAAGACGGTTGTTTAAGTAGCTTTGGCTATTGCACTCGCAAGAAATTTTAATAGTTTTCGAATTGCTTTAGTTATATATTCTTGATGGGGGATATATAGTGATGTGGAGATGTAGTAGTAGTGTCTCAGCTGCTAGATAAAACTTACTTTTATTCTGATTTCAGATATTATAGCCACTATATGTAGTATTAGGAAGTCAGAAGCTTTGTCCTGAAAAGTGATCCCTGTAGTCAGTCTCCTTTAATATTAAGAACAGAATTTTAAAATGGAAAACTGGAATTCTTGCACTAGTTGCCATTTATACAAATTCAAAATGTATTTTTATTTGTCAGGAGTCTGTTTGTTGCAGAGTAGTTTAATTTTGCCCTCTTAGAGGCAGAAGTCAATTTTAGAGGTAACAAGGGATCTGACTAGCACATGGCAAAATCCTCAGCTGCATGTTTGAGTTCCAGTTTATCCTCTTTAAGTAACTGAAACCCGGTGAGTGGCACTGCTCGTACTGCCACGATGTGTCTCCTGAAGTTTATTGTAGACTTTCTGTGTATTTCCAAGTAATTTGATTACCTGGGCCTGTTACTGCATGGCTTACTTTTAATGTTACCAGCATTGTCCCAGGTTTCAAGCAAATTAGGCAGTCTTCATTGAGTTCCATCTGGTGTTTACCTGTGATATGAGTTGGGTGGGTGTTATCAGTGGCCATGTATTTTACTTGAGCTGAGCACAGATTTTGAAGCCTGTGTTCTCTTTTAAGTGGGTTTATCACTTGTAAAGTACGGCTGGTTCTTAAACCACATACAATAGAATAAATATTACGTAGTTACATACTGGAAAAACACTTCAGAGACCAGAAGGTCCACCTTTGGAACAGTCCAATGTGCAAAAGAGTCTGGTGGATAAATTTGTTTCTATGGAAGACTCAACATGTCCTTTACAGTAAAGTTTACTGGGCGTTTCATTGTACTGCCTGACATATCTGCAGATAAGTGAGATGTTGTTTAAGAGAACATAAATGTGAGAGGAGCCACAGCCTCCTCTTACAGCATAAGGCAAACTTCAATAGCATTTAAGGAAAAAAAATCACCACCAAACCTTTTTGTTCATGTTTGTTTCATTTACCTGCTTTTTTTTTTTTCGCCTGTGCAACAGACGAGTACCTGTGTGCTTTTTCCTTTTAAAGATGTCTTTAATGAAATGTTAACATGCCACCTAAAGGAGATCGAAGTGCCTGCAAATTTTGTTAGTTGCAGAGATGTTTCTATAGTTCTAGCGGTTTTTTTCATGATATTTTCTGTCCTTTCAGCACAAAGCTAAAATATTTTTTTCTTCCATCTCTCTCTTAATAGAACTTTCTGCAGAAGCCAAAGCGGCATTACTTGAATTTGAAGAGAGGGAAAGGCAGCTTAAACAGGGACGGTATGGCTCAAGGAGAGGAGGGCGAAGAGGAGGCTCGGTTATGTGCCATGGAATGGGAGAACAAAGGAGAGACAATAATGATAGGGGAAGAATGAAGGATCACAGGCCTGCACTGCTGCCAAACCAGCCATCAACAATGGTACCTTTTAATCCTTAGTATTCTTTGAACGTACTTTCAGGAAATTACGGAGAAATGCATTCTAAATCATGAGTCTTTACAAAGGTGGAATATATATATATTCCAGTATACACTTTTTGCTCTTTCAGGGCACTGTTAGGCAAGATGGGTTTTACATAATGTGACTGTGAAAGTATGTGCTTAGTCCTATTACCGGCCTCAACTTGAGGAATTTCAAGGCCTCCAAATGAAAAGTGGATTTCAACTCATACACTGCAATCAGGTTTACCTGCTGGTTTGCGTGGAGGAAAAAGTTAACTCCTCTCAGAAGTCCTTTACCTGTAACATGGAAACATATTCAGTCCCACATTTTTAATAGCAATTTAGTTTATAAAAGTAATGATTCTATAAAATATTTTTTAGTTTTTGTCAAACTAATATTTTTGCTGATACTTCTAAAAAAAAAAATCTGTTTGTATACCTGCCAAGCTACTGTGGAGGCAAATAAAACCATAGGAAGGTAATCCACTACTAGATAAATCAATATCTTGGGATTTTAGGTAAAGTTTAGCTTTGTTACTCTTTCCTC